GGAGCGGGGGCCACGAAGGGCATACATATATGGGGCCACGAAGGGCAGCGAGGGGGCCACGAAGGGCTGCAACGGGGCCACGAAACAAAGCGAGGAGGCCACGAATGGCTGCAACGGGGCCACGAAGGGTTGCGACGGGGCCACGAAGGGCAACGAGGGGGCCACGAGGGGCTGCAACGGGGCCACGAAACAAAGCGAGGTGGCCACAAAGGACTGCAACGGGGCAGCGAAGGGCAGCGAGGAGGCCACGAGGGGCTGCAACGGGGCCACGAAGGGCAGCGAGGGGGCCACGAAGGGCTGCAACGGGGCCACGAAACAAAGCGAGGGGGCCACGAAGGGCTGCAACGGGGCCACGAAGGGCAGCGAGATCCCGATTCCTATGCAATCTGTGAGGGAGTCCTACGCGTGAGCGCGACTCCTGGGTGCCTGGGTGTCGGGAGCGCGGCGCTTGAGTAAATTGCAGGAAATTCCAACGCAAGGGCGCTGTTCTTCAGTAAATTGCAAGCAAGTCTCCAGCGAAAGCGCGACTCCAGAGCGCCGGGAGCATAAAATCTAAAGAAGTCCCAAGCGAGAGCGCGATTCCTGAATAAAACGCGAGGAAATCTCGGGCGGGAGCGGGGGTCCTGGCTAAATTGTAAGGAAGTCTCAGGCGGGAACCGTTGTTGTTGTAAACCGGGGGCCAACGACACAGTTTGACCCTCAAAACTTTCCCTGATCAAAAACCGGGTGCGAGCCTCGGGAAGGGCACTTCAATCGAAAAAAACAATGTGCACCGGACGGGGGGGATCAACAATAATCATTCTTCAGAAATGAGAATTCAGCAACAACGACAACAACAACAACAAAAAGAATCCGCATCGCGGAATTCCACTTCAGCCACGCACCCAGGGACAATGAGTGACCGCTCGGCTCAGCCCCCTCACTCTGATATATGCATATGCATATACATACCTATACGACCACCCTGCGGGTGATAAGAAGGTTGGGGGGGCAGCAATGGGCAAAAGTGGTGATTATTGTTCTGACGATGCCTGTGGTTCTGTCGATTTGCTTTTCGATTTGCATGTCGACGTGCATTGGAAAGCGCGCCGCGGCGCCCACGGTGCCTTACGATTTGCGTTTGGATGTGCAAACCGACTTGCATTTCGATGTGCTTTTCGGTCTGCATGTCGGTTTGCATGCAGACTTGCATTGGATTGCTCGCCGCAAGCGGCGACAACCCACGGCGGGACACCAGCGGGACACCAGCGGAACACCAGCGGGACACCGCGGGCCACCGTGTGACGGGAGGAGCATCATTTGGTCCGGCCGCGGCCCAGCCACAGGAGGATTACGGGACACCAGCGGGACACAGGCGGGACACCGCGCGCCACCGGCCGCCGGAGGAGAATCATTTGGTCCGGCCGCGGCCCAGCCACAGGAGGATTTCGGAACACCAGCAGGACACCGGCCGGACAACGCGCGCCACAAGCCGCCAGAGGGAGAATCATTTGGTCAGGCCGCGCCTCAGCCACAGGAGAATTTCGGGACACCAGCGGGACACCGGCGGGACACCGCGGGCCACCGGCCGCCGGAGGGAGAATCATTTGGTCCGGCCGCGCCTCAGCCACAGGAGGGTTTCCTCTCGCCCGCCCACGCAGCTTCGCCTCGCCCGCACGCACGGCACGCACGAACACGAAACCGAAACCGATTTCCCAGTGGGGGGCTCTCCGTTGCACTTCGATCTCACCCCCCAACCTCCGATACATACACAAATACATATACAAATACAGATACGCATACACAGACATGCCTGACCTCGAGAGGGCACCCTCCCCCTCCTGCCGAACTCAGCACGTGCGCGCCAGCTACGCCTGCAGAACCTCCCCCTGTCTGCCCTTGCCCGAAGATTTCAAGCGCTGGCCATCCGTCGTCCCGCCGTGTTGTCGTACAGTCAGCCCATGTAGTATCGAAAGTGGTTGAGGATGGACCGAGGATGACCGAAGAGGCGAGGATGCAAGGGCACCCTTACTATCAGGGTTGACTGTACCCCACTCCCTTCCCTTCCCTTTCGCAGGTTTAACTCACAAGAGGTGCTGTTCCAACCTCCCTCCCGCGGCTAGAGCTTGTAAGGGAGGCAGCAGCGATGGCCCCAGCCCTTGAAGACGGACTGGCCATCAGATCGCAGATCGCAGGAGGAGGAAAGGCCAGGGGGAGAGGGGGGAAGGGGGGAGGAGGGGGAGGAGGGGCCGAGGAGGGGGAGGAGGGAGGGGCGGAGTGGGGGGGGAGGGGAGGGAGAAGAGGAAGGAGTTAAGGGGAAGGATGGGAGGAAGAGGAGGAGGAGGAGGAGGGGCAGGGAGGGAGGGAAGAGGAACGGGGAGGGAGGGAGGGGGCGAGGCTCCTCTGGGGGGAGGGCCAGAGGGGAGAGCAACCGCAGAGGGGGCACGGGCGGGGGGCCGAGAGCGCCCCGAAAAAAAGAAGAGAGGCCCGGGCAGCCGACGACCCGACCTTTTCCGGTGCGCGGCCCCCGAGGTCCCGGCCCCTCTCCTGCGGCCAGATTTTCGCCCTGCGGGAGGAACTCGACCACAAAAACCTTCCGCGAGAAACACAACCCTGAGACCCCAGGACGTGAATTGATTCCGAGTATGGAAACGTCACGCACTCCATAGCAGATCGATCGAAACCCAAGAAACCCAGGGCACCCTGGAGGCAAGCAGGGCGTTCCTGGCATGGGCTTCCAATCTTAGATCTAGGGCGGAGAACTGGCCATTCTCGAAGAGGCCGGCGCCATCTCGGGATGGCAACCTTTGTTTGGTTGACGCTTTCGGCGGAGGCAGCAGGCGACGAAATAAAGGGCACACCGCAACAAATGTGTTGCATCATCTACAATAGAAGAACCCATGACATATACACATTTCTGTTTCCGACTAGACCCGTCATTGATGGCACCAGGGGGCCCGAAAACAGACCCCAGGGGATGAAATTTAAGAATAAGAAGGTCGCATCGTCGGAGAAAACTATCCTGGCGGAGGACCCAACCATATGCAGTTGTGAGTACCGTCGTTGTGGGTATCGCCTTCGGTGTATCTCCTTATGGGGCCACGAAGCGTCTGAAGGATGTACCGACATGGGGCGGGGCCGCAATGCAGGCGCTGCCACTGGGGCCTGAGGTAGAGCCCCCCATGGAGCCACAACACTTGTCAGGGGTGTGCCGAAATTGGGCGCGTACACCATGGGCTTTCGGTGGAGCTCTGTATGGGGCCACGAACCGTGTGAGGGGTGTGCCGACTCGGGTGTGGGCACGCCATGCGGACAGTGCCACTAGGTCCTTCGACGGAGCTCCCTATGGGGCCAAGAAACGTTTGAGGGGTCTGCCGAATCGGGCGCGAGTACGCCATGCGGACTGTGCCACTGAGGCCTTCGGTGAAGCCCCTTATGGGACCACGAATGATGATGATAGCGACAATAATAATACTGATGATAATTAGTGATGATAACGAGGACGACGATGACGATGACGATGACGAGTGTGATCATGATTATGATCATGACAACAATGATGCGGATGATTAAGATTATAATGATGATGAGAACGATGACGATGATCATGATGATGATGATGATGGTGGTGGTGATATGATGATGATGATGATGATGACAGTGACGATGACGACGATGAGGAGGAGGAGGAGGACGATGGCGATGATAGTGGTGGTGGCGCGATGATGATGGTGATGACGACGGTGGTGGTGGTGATGATGCTGATGATGATTATGATGATGCTGCTGATGATGCTGAATATGATGATGCTGATGATGATGATGATTAATGATGACGGTGGTGGTGGT